GCGTACAGCTGAGTTGTGATGATGCCTAGAATTGTACCACCACACAAACAAGGCACAGAACATTTTCTCCCCTCCCCAGACCCTGGGCTGCCTCTGTGTAGCCAAACCCTCCCCACCCCTTGCCCCAGCCACCACTAACCTGTCCCGTCACTATGATTTTGCCTTTTCCAGAGTGTCGTAGAAATGCAGTCCTGCGGTGTGTAGCATTTTGGGTCTGGCTTCCTTCGCTTAGCGGTGTGAGAGGCATCCACGTTCCTCTTCATTGCCGACTAGTATTCCACAGTATGCGTGAACCATACTTTATTACTCAGCAACCCAAGGACATAGGGTTGTTTGCAGTTTGGGACAATTACGAATGGAACTGCTGTAAACATTCACTTTTAGGCTCTTGTATAAACATAAGTTTTCGTGTCGCTTGGGTAAATAAATACTTAAGAGGGGACTACTAAATTGTATGGTAGGTACATGTTTAACTGTTTAAGAGACCGCTCAACTTTTCCAAAGGAGGTGTATCTTTTTACATTCTCACCAGCAGCGTCTGAGTTCCAGTTGCTCCCCATTGCTCTCACACTTGATATTACTGGGTTTTTTAATTATTATTTTTTTAAAGTAATACTAATAGGTGTGTAGTGGTATCCCACGTGGTCTTCAATGGCATTTCCCTAATGATGTCGAAAATCTATGCATGTGCTTCTCTGCCCTATATTCATATACCTTCTTTGGTGAGGTGTCTGTCCAAATCTTTTGCCAACTTTGTAAACTGGGGTTTTTGTTTTATCATCGAGTTTTGAGTGTTCATTATATGTTCTTGATACAAGTCCTTCCTGAGGGCCGTGATTTGCAAACATCTTCTCTAGTCTGTGGCTTGTCTTTTTGTCCTCTTCACTGTGTCATTCAAAGTGAAGTTCTTCAACTTTGATGACGCCCAGTTTTTTCTATTAGAGTTTGAGCTTTTTGTATCTCACAAACGTTGCCTAATCCAAGGACAGAACATTTTCTGCTAGGTTTTCTTCTGGAAGTTTTACACTTAGGTCTGTGGCTCACTTTAAATTTTGTGTAAGAGGGGCTTCCCTGGTGGTGCAGTGGTTAAGAATCTGCCTGCCAATGCAGGGGACACGTGTTTGAGGCCTTGTGCAGGAAGATCCCACATGCCGCGGAGCAACTAAGCCACAACTACTGAACCTGTGCTCTAGAGCCTGTGAGCCACAACAACTGAGCCCATGCGCCACAACAATTGAAGCCCACATGCCTAGAGCCTGTGGTCTGCAACAAGAGAAGCCACCGCAATGAGAAGCCCATGCACCACAATGAAGAGAAGCCCCCGCTCACCGCAACTAGAGAAAGCCCGTGCAGCAACAAATACCCAACACAGCCAAAAATAAATAAATAAAATAAATTTTAAAAAACACTTGTGTAAGATATGAGATGGGGCCAAGCCTCATTCTTTTCTTCCAGTTGTTTTAGTACTATCTGGTGAAAGTCTATCCTTTCTCCATTGAATTACCTTGACACCTGTGGAAAACCAATTGACCATATCTGTGTGGGTCTGTTTCTGAACTGTCTGTACTGGTCCATTGAGCTGTGTCTGAACTTTCACCCATCTCACACTTCAAATCAGGTACTGTGAGCCTTCTATGTTCTTTTTCAAAATCACCTTAGCTATTCTAATCGCTTTGACTTTGGCTGTAGCTTTTGGGATCAGCTTGTCTCCATCTACAAAAAAAATCCAAGGGGAGTTTGATGGGGATTATGTTAAATCTATAGATCAATCTGGGGAGAATTGACATCTTAACAGTAAAATTTTCCAATCTGTGAACATGGTATATCTCTCCATTTATGTAGGTCTTCATTGATTTCCTTCATCAGTCTTTTGTATTTTCATCATATGGAGCCTACATATATTTTTTAGATTTATACCTAATTATTTCATTTTTCAGATGCTATCATAATAGTGGTTTTTTTGTTTTTCTTAAATAAATTTATTTTATTTATTTTTATTTTTGGCTGTGTTGAGTCTTCGTTGCTGTGTGCAGGCTTTCTCTAGTTGCAGCGAGCAGGGGCTACTCTTCCTTGCCGTGCATGGCCTTCTTATTGCAGTGGCTTCTCTTGTTGTGGAACACGGGCTCTAGGCGCGTGGGCTTCAGTAGTTGTAGCACGTGGGCTCAGCAGTTGTGGCACGTGGGCTCTAGAGCGCAGGTTCAGTAGTTGTTGTGGTGCGTGGGCTTAGTTGCTCCGCGGCATGTGGGATCTTCCCGGACCAGGGCTTGAACCCATGTCCCCTGCATTGGTAGGTGGATTCTTAACCACTGCACCACCAGGGAAGCCCTATCATAAATAATAGCTTTTTAAATGTCAATTTCCAATTGTTTATCACCAGTATACGAAAATACAGTTCATGGTATAATTTACTCTGTAGCCTGTGTTCTTGCTAAACTCATTTATTAGTTTTAGGGTTTTGTGTAGATCCCATGTGATTTTCTACATAGACAATCATGCTCTCTGTGAATAGAAAGTTTTATTTCCTCCTTTCCAATGTGTTTGCCTTTTGATTTTTTCTTGTTTTATTTTGTGGCTGGAGCTTCCAGGACAATGCTAAACAGAAGTGATGAGCGTGGACAACCTGGCCTTGTTCCCAATCTTAGGGGGAAAACATCCAGTCCTTTGCCATTAAGTATGGTGTTAGCCATGAGATTTTTGTAGATACGCTTTACCAGGTGAAAGAAATTGTTATATTTCTAGTTTGCTGTTTTTTAAAAAATCATGAATGAATGTTGAATTTTCTCTCTTGCTATTTCTGTGTAAAATGATAATGTGATTCTTTCTCCTTTAGTGTGTTAATATGATGAATTGCACTGCTTGATTTTCAGATGTTGAACCAGCCTTCCTTCCCCAGGAAAAACTCCGCTTATTGTGATGTATTACTTTTTGTATATTGCTGGATTTGTTTCGCTAATTTTTTAAAATTCATTTATTTTTATTTTTGGCTGCGCTGGGTCTTTGTTGCTGCGTGCGGGCTTTCTCTAGTTGCAGAAAGCAGGGGTTACTCTTCGTTGTGGTGCGCGGGCTTCTCATTGCAGTGGCTTCTCTTGTTGCGGAGCACAGGCTCTAGGTGCGCAGGCTTCAGTAGTTGTGGCTTGCGGGCTCTAGAGCGTAGGCTCAGTAGCTGTGGCACACGGGCTTCACTGCTCCGCGGCATGTGGGATCCTGCTCTGCGGACCAGGGCTCGAACCCATGTCCCCTGCATTGGCAGGCGGATCCTTAACCACTGCGCTACCAGGGAAGCCCTGTTTTGTTAATATTTTGTTGAGGATTTTTTTTTTTTTTTTTTTTTTTGCTGTACGTGGGCCTCTCACTGTCGTGGCCCCTCCCATTGCGGAGCACAGGCTCCGGACGCGCAGCCTCAGCGGCCATGGCTCACGGGCCCAGCCGCTCCGCGGCATGTGGGATCCTCCCGGACCGGGGCACGAACCCGCGTCCCCTGCATCGGCAGGCTGACTCTCAACCACTGCGCCACCAGGGAAGCCCGAGGATTTTTTTTTTTAATCTATGTTGATGAAGGAGATTGGTCTGTAGTTCTCTAGACCAAGCGTACATGGAACATTCACCAAGATAGACTATATTCTGGGCCACTAAACAAACTTTAACAAAAGTTTGAAATCTTTAACAATATAATGGAAGTCTCACAAAATATGTTCTCTTACATCAGAGTTAAAGTAGTAATAACAAAAAAAACACATTTAAAAATAATCCATCAGACAAAAAGAAAGTCTTATGGAAAATTAGAAAATATTTTGAACTGAATAAAAATAAAATGTTTCAAAATTCATGGGATGCAGCTAAAGCAGTGTCTAGACGAAAACGTGCGGGATTCCATGCTCCCAATGCAGGGGGCCCAAGTTTGATCCCTGGTCAGGGAACTAGATCCTGCCTGCCACAACTAAAAGAGCCCACATGCCTCAACCAAAGATTCTGCATGCCACAACTAAATATCCCACATGCCTCAACTAAAGATCCTGCATGCCACAACTAAAAAAAAAAAAAAAAAATGATCCTACATGCCACAACTAAGACCTGGTGCAGCCAAATAAATAAATATTTTTTAAATGTTTGTATTAGAAAAGAATAAAATCAATAATCTAAGCTTTAAAAAACTAGAGAAAGAAAAACAACCAGAATGAATGAAATAATAAAGAGCAAAAATCAATGAAATAGAAAACAAAACTAGTAGATAGAATTAAACCAAGTTAGTTCTTCGAAAAGGTCACTAATATTAATAAACCTCTAATCAGACTAACCAAGAAAGGCGAAAAATTATCAGTAACAGAAATGACAGGTGGGACTCTATAGAAATTGAAAGAATAATGAAAAGTAGGCTAGAAAAACTCTATAGCTGGGGCTCCCCTGGTGGTGCAGTGGTTAAGAATCCGCCTGCCAACGCAGGGGACACAGGTTTGAGCCCTGGTCCAGGAGGATCCCATATGCCACGGAGCAGCTAAGCCCATGCGCCACAACTACCGAGCCTGAGCTCTAGAGCCCACGAGCCACAACTACTGAGCTCACGTGCCACAACTACTGAAGCCTGCACGCCTACAGCCAGTGCTCCACGAGAGGCCACTGCAGTGACAGGCCCGCGCACCGCAACAAGGAGTGGCCCCCGCCCACTGCAACTGGGGAAAGCCCGCATTCAGCAACGAAGACCAACACAGCCAAAAATAAATTAAAAAAAAAAATTACTTAAGCTCGCCTATGAAGCAATAGATAACCCAAATCATCCTAAATCTACTTAAGAAATTGAACTTCATAGTTAAAAACCTTCAATTCAGAAAATTACAGGACAAGATACTTCCACTAGGGAGTCTTACCAAACATTTAAGGAAGAAATACCTGTCCCTGCTTTTAGAAGTCCCTCTGTGTGCCCCTCAGGGCCATTTTCACACACACAGACACACACACACACACACACAAAGATGGAAAAATTTAAAAAAAGCAAACAGTGCAGCTTTGTGTGAACAGCAGTGTTTATGTAGGAGGTGTGACCCCAGGTCAACCCCAGTTCTTCCAAGAGGGACCACAGCCATTGCTCTGAGGTGGCCGTACAGTCTGCAGGCAGTGGTCACGGCAGGGGGGAGCTGACATAGGTCACACAGGGACCCAGTGCTGGAAAGGACCCCGTCCTGCTGGACGAGAAGGTGTGACACTGCTTAGGACACACCCCCTACCCCCGCTGAGAGAGGGATCTGAGCTCAAAGACCCAAGCAGTGATTCCAAATCCACCCAAAAATCCTTGTTTCTGAGGGCCAGGCAGGCAGGGGTTTCCCCAGGGGACCCCACGGTCAGCATTTGTGAGGCCCTGTGCCTGCCTGCTGCTATAGGAATTCAAGTCCAAATGGCCAGTCTCTGGCCAAGGAGACAGTGTGGGCAAGGGGGAATGACTGAGGTGGCCCTGCGGTCCTCCTCTCAGGCCTGTCGTCTGGAAACAGCAGAAGCTTGGCTGGGGGCCAGGCCTGGGCTCAGCCTGCAGACAGGGCCTGTCTGTCTCCCCCTGGTGCCCCTCTCTGTGTGCCCGTGAGGACCCTGGGGACTGAGGACAGTTCCAAGGGGCGTCTGGTCTCTGAGCTCGGTCAGCAGGCCTTCCCGCCCACACCCTCCAGGTAGGCTACGCCATACCACCCACCCCACTGTCCTCCCTTAGGATCCCTTTGGCAACTGGGAAAAGCGGGTGGTATGCTCATCCGGCCAGGCCAGATGGCTGTGAGGTGGGGGACCCGGCAGCCCAGGGCCCGCCGGCTGCCAGTCTCAGCAAGCACTTGGCTCCTCATTCTGTGCCCGTCCCGCCCTCCCCGTGTGTCCTGCGGGCTGCTTGGGGGGCTGCTCCTCGGCCATCACACCCACGGGGTGGGCTGGGGGGGTCCTGCCCCCCAGCAGAAAAATGGGGAAGCCACCTCAGGGACAAGGTTGGGGAGTAGCCCCCACGGGCAAGGATGACCCTTCCAGCAGTGCCGGCCTGGCTCTGGCTGGTTCGTGGACTCCTGAAATATTATCTGTGTTTTACTGGTGGCTGTTCTCGTCACTGGGCGGGCTGTCCACTCTGAGCTTACCTGGCTGGGTGGCTGCCCGCACCAAGGCCTCAGTGGGTGAGGGGAGGAGGCCAGAGGAGGGCGAGGCCGACTGCAGACACCTGAGGGGAGCCACTCTTTGCTGGGACACAGAGGCTCTGGGCACATGGGGACAGCACAAAGTCACAGAGTCCTAGGGGTGAGGGGCTGGGGGACACAGAGACTCTGCAAGTGGCCCAGGCTGACAAGATCATGAGTTTAAGAATGCGAACGCTGATGGCTCAGAGCCAGAAGGCTCTTTTGATGCCACCCTCTGTGACGACGTCCAGGGAGCCTGGCAGGCTGGGAGGGGCTCTTCTGCAGCAGTCCCGGCCCCCACCAGGCGGGGACAGGCCACCAGTTCCATGCCAGCAAACAAGGAGCCACAGCTATCCCCGGGGCCCGGGTCAAGCTCTGGCCCTCTCTTTGCAGTGTTTGTGCCGAACGAGCCCCGCTCAGATCCAGCCCCCTGCTCTCTGGAACCTGCCAGTCTAGTCTTGGCCTCCCTGGCATCCGCACGGGCTGGAAGGGGACAGCCGTCCAGGGAAGTCGGGGGCACAGGGCCGGGCTGCAGTCCCGATGGGGAAGCGGTGCTCTTGGGCGAAAACAGAGCTGAACTCAGAGGCTGCAGGAAAGCCTGGCCCCCGGTGAAAGGCAGGGTGTCGGTCAGCAGGTCTGATGGGCCCACACGGGCAACTGCGGGGCCAGGCTCAGCTGGGGGCCTCCGGGCAGGGGGCCACTGTCGGCAGGAGGCTTCAAAGTGTCTCAGGATCTGAACGAGGTAAGAAGAGGGGAATCAGTGAGGGCTCCTGTGCTCCTCCAGGAATCTCAGAGGACATGGCCCTCCCGGTTCCCTCCTCAATGCCGCTGCCCAGAGCAGGGGGCAGGGCTGCTAGCCGCTCACAACTGTTCTCGTGTCATTCCCCCAACTGCAGCGCTGCTGCTCCCCACCCGCTGTCACACAAATGGACACTTTCCTGGCATCAAGCTGCCGTGTGACCTGCCAGAGCGGGAAAAGCCCCCCTGGTCAGGTGCCACACAAGCACCTGACACACACGCGGAGAGAACAGACATGTCTAAACCCCCGATCGTTCCCACCTGCCGGACTCCTGGGTCCTTCCCAGGTTTTAGAAACACCACCGTGACATGCCCACAACGTGTTTTGTGTGTGGCAGGTTCACTAGTGCTTTGAAGGGCAGTTTAGGGACAGGTGACCAAGGATCGGAATCTTCAGCCACCACAGAAGAAACCAGACGCCGAAGGAGGCCAACAGCGGGCGGAGGGGCCGGGGCCTGGCTGCTGCCGAGGGGCCCCCAGCGAAGATTCCGGGTGGCCTCCCCACATTCATCAGTGGAAAGAGGACTCAGATGAACGGAACCATTTCTGTCCTCCTGGAGCTGGGGATCTGGGAGCAGAGCTCAGACCCATGAGCTGTGACCCAGAGTGCAGAACAGAGGGATAGATGCATCCAAGCATTCGAGGAGAGCTTCCCACAGGAGACGAGCCATGAGGGAGAGCGAGTTGCCCGAAGGGCAGAGCTGCTGGGCAGAAGGGCGGGGGAGCGTGGGGGTCCCAGGAACGGGGAGAGGCCAGGCCCCCGACCGCTGTCCTAAGGGCATGACCTGTCCCTCCTGTCCAGCAAGGACAGGAGGGGCGGGTCTAGGGAAGGCAGTGGAGGGTGGGGAAGACGGTGTGGGGCTGCCGAGGCGTCCTGTGCCCGCTTCTCTGGGTCCCAGAGGCTGCCCACCTTGGTGGCCTTGTTGGTCACGGGTCCAGGGCTGCCCACACTGAGCTCCTGCAGCCGAGGCCGGGCAAGGAGCAGGACTCGCTCCTGGGAGAGCAGGTCGGTGCACCCGAGGGAGGCGATGGCACCCAGGGCTCTCTGCGGGGCGGGCTTGATGTCAGCAGGGTCCACCCCCAGGGAGGGCTGTCTGACCAGCTCCCTCCCTCCTCTCGGCCCTCAGCCGAGCTGGGCGGTCCCCAGAATCCCGTGCTCACTCCCCCCACGCACCGCCACCCCCGCTCCCCCCTCACCATCTGCACACGCTCGCTGCTTGCGCCCAGGTGGCGGATGAGCAGCTCCAGCACGGCCTCACAGTTGAGGAGTCCACACCTGCACGAAGGGGGCACCGGGCAATGGGGCTGGGCCAGCAGAGCAAGAGGGGGGCGGTGTGCAGAGCCAGGGTGAGGGGCGGGGGGTGCGCAGGGCTGGGGGGCCTGCAGTGGGTCAGGGGCTCACTCTTTGACGAAGTGCTGCACCTCCTCTCGGCTCAGGAAGCAATGTGGCCCCCGTGTCACGGCCCGGACCAGGCTCAGCTCCTGCTGGCAGTCACTCAGGGTCACGGCCTCGACCCTGTCGGGGGCACGCAGGTCAGGAAAGAGAGTGGACTCCACCCATGCCAGGAGGGGTGAAACCTTTCCGGGTCAAGTCTCCCCCATCGGGGTAGGACCCTGGAGCAGGGCAGGGAGGGGTGCCCTGGGGTGCTGGCTCACCTTTCTGCCAGGTCGCTGGGTGCCCAGCTGGCCCCTGAGGGGCTGTCACTGCCCGACGGACTACCTGAGTCCGAGGCCTTGCCCAGGTCGTCATTTTCCTGGGAAGAATCCTGAGAGTTTGGGCTGCTGTCCAGCTCATCCCAGCCGCCTCCGGCCTGCCCAGGCTGGTGTCTCATGGCTGGAAGAAACAGTGACCAAGGGTAAGACCCTTGTGGGCCTCAGACTGGCCCCATGTCCATCTTCCAGGAGCCCTGGATGGGGAGACCCAGGGAAGGGCCTGGGGGCTGGGTCCCGAGATGTGGACAGGGTGGCCGCCTGGGCTCCACCTCCAGGAAACACCAGGCGAGAGGAGACGGGGCAGAATGGGGCACATTCTGACTCAGGGCCAGGGTGGGGGGGTCCCGCACGGGACACGCCCGGCCTGGAAGATGCAGGAAGCAGTGCCAGGCACCACAGGCCAGGCGGGAGGCAGGACACGCAGGGCAGCGGGCTGGGGCAGTGGGGCAGCGCCCAGCACAGCAGCTCTCAAATCCCAGTGAGCCCTGACATTCTTCCTTCGAGCCAGACAAACGTGACAGCAGCTTCTGGGAAAGGCGGAGATCACAGACAGATGCTCCTCCTTCCTTTCTTACAGCTCACCACTAGAACACACGTGCCACAGAGCCTGGCCCCTGTGGGGGGCTTCCCTGTTGTCCCTGGGCCCTGATGGGCTGCACAGCCGCTTGAACGCGCTGGGTGAACGCACAAGAGCTGGGGCTGGGCTCCCGTCCCAGCTCAAGTCCTGCTTCTGTGTCTGAGCAGCTGGGATCCTGGGCGGACCCCGCCTTCTCGTGGGGCCTTACCACCCAAGTTCCCACCCAGAGCAGACTGACAGAGATGTCAGACAGTGCGGGGACAAGGCAGCCACCGCAGAGGCCCCAGGGAACTCGAGTCGTGTGGGCGGCTGGCTCTGTGGGGGTTCCCACGTGGCCAATGGAGCATGCTGGCTCTGAGAGATGTCGTGGGACCAGCAGGGTGTGGCTCGTACCCCCTCCCACCATGGGTGGGCTGCTTTCTTCCTCCTCCCCCATCAGCTCCGGCCTGGCCCGAACAGGTGACAGGAAGCCCAGGGCCCTGGGAGGGGGAAGCCAGACCCCTCCAGGGGAGGAGTCTCGCTGGATACCTCGGGCACCTGGGCCGGCTGTGGGGAGAGGGTTCCTGGGGGTTGGAGGGCCGAGGCCGGCTGAAGGTGTCACAGCCGGCTGGTAGGCGTCACCTCGCAGAAGGGATCTCTGGGAGCTGGGGCTCTCAGGCCCAGGGCGCATGGCGCTGGCCACCACCTCTGCGGCCTTCTGGATGGTGGACAGGAAGGCTTCGCCCGCAGAGCCTGCATCAGAGACGGAGAGGAGACGGCGCAGCCCCTCTCAGTGCTGCCCCGTTTTCCCAGGATGAGGTACCTCTGCCTGCTCCCCACCCAGGACTTGGGAGCAGGACACAAGCTGCAGTCACAGAGCAGAGACCGTGTGGAGGGACAGGGCCCTTCCGGAAGCTTCTGTGGTGAATTCACTTCAGTGCACCCTGGCCCCGTGGAACCTGGACGCTTGGCAGCTTACAGCAAAGCTGTGCCGCTGGGCCCCCTGGGTCCCCGCCTCGGAGCAGGGGACCACCTAAGGTGCTTGTCCTGAGAACCACAATCTCCGTGGCCGCTTAAGGAGTGCTCACGCCCAGGGCTGGAGGGCCTTCCCACGAGTGCCCCACGGAGGGTGATCCGGCGGCCACCCCCAAATTAGGAACAGGTGGGGCCTCTGAGGCAGACCCACCTTAGGAATTAGAAGTGCCAGGGAACTGGGAGCCGTGACCACACAGTCAGCACAACAGCTCGACACGGCCCAGAGCCCATGAGAGGCTCACGTGGCCCTGCTGGGGCCTCAGGCTCTCCCAGCAAGCAGGGCCAGCACCGGGCCTGCTCTAAATCACCTCTGTCACAGCCGGGACTACCACCCTCTGCCCCTGGCTCCTTGAAGGAGCCAGCGCTGGGGGCCCGAGTGCAAGGCTGACCCTCAGCCTGGCTTCTCACCTGTCGGTTAAACAGAGCCGGCTGCACCTGCCCTGCCGCCCCAGGGTGGGAGGGAAGTCAGTCGGGGGGCGCACAGGCCCCGCCCACCCCTCGCCCGGCCCCTCATCCCCACAGCACTCACCTGTGTGGCCCCGTTCCTTGCTGTAGCCGAAGCCCTGTAGGGAGCTCTGGGGCCTGGACTGGGAGCCCATGCCTGTGGGGAGGCCCACGTCAGCAGCGGCGGGGACCCCCACCCTCAGTCCCGGATACTCAGGGGAGGAGAGGCCGTGAGCCCCCGCAGAGTGGAACCTGGTGATGGGGCTGGACGTACTTGCATACCTGCTGGAGGCAGGGCCCTGGGTGGCTGGGAAGGGGGCAGAGGTGACAAGGTGTCCGAGAACAAGGCAGCCCCCAAGTCCTAGGCAGAGGCAGAGGACATTCAGCACAGCCACACGCCGCTGTCCTCCCGCCCACCCCTCTGCTCTGCACCCCTGTCCCCTTCTCCTCTGAGGGCCACACACAGGGGCTCCCGTCCCGCAGCAGGAGTGGAACCAGAGTCCCGGGTGGGAAAAGCAGGGAGAGACCTGAGTCCTGGGCTCACCTGGGCGGCTGCCCGCACCTTCTGGTACAAGCTGTTCCCGTGGAGAGGATCCGGGGGTCCCGTGAAAACTGCGGGACGGAGGCAGAGGGGAGCAGAGCTGAGCTGGGCTATGCCAACCACCCCGAGGGGCCCAGCCTCAAAGCCCACCCCCGACACAGGTGGTGAGCCTCGGCCCCGCCCAGCCCCCCATGAAGCCCCTGCTCAGCACCACCCCCCAAGTCCCTGGGGGCTTCCTAAAGCACAGATGCACCACCGTCCCCAGGCCTGAGGTGGCTATGCCCTCACAACCCCTCGGCTCCCCCTGGCCCACACCCACAGCGGCGAGGCTGCAATCCAACCTCCAGAACATCATGGGCTGCATCACTCCCTGACCGCACTGCCGCCCCCCGGCCTGAGCTCCTGCACCCGTGGCCTAACTGCCTCCCCTCAACCCCTTCTCCACCCAGAGGCAACCAGAGGGGGCTCTTGTCCAATTCAAAACACTTAGAGCTTCCAGGGGCTCACAGATGATAAAACTCAAGTTCCCTACCACGTCTGAAAAGTCTCCTGCTCATAAAACTTCAGATGTGGTGAATCAAACGAGCTTAAATCTCATTAAACCACTCGCGGGCTCTCCCTGCCGCAGGGCCCTTGCACTAGCTGGAGGACACCCTTATGCCTGGCTCCACCTCATCCTTTCAGAGCTGAGAGGAAGAGCAGGGCCTCTCTGTTTCCTCTGTCCAGACACATCTCACTTTTCACCCATCTGGTGCTGTCTCCACCCTGGCAGGCCAGCCCCAGGGGGTGCAGACAACGGCCCTGCAACCAGGTAGAGCGGACACCTCCCTGCTGTCGTGCCACAGCTCCCACCCTCCCTGTGGGGCCCGAGCCTCGAATTGCAGGGGACCCCCGCCTGGCCCCCAAAATAGGGCCGTCCTGTCTGTGTACCTTCCTGCTCCCAGCACCATCTCTTCTCACAGCCTATGCAGGCCTATCTGGGCACCCGTCCTCTGGGGGCAGTGCTCAGAGCTCAAGAGATTTTGGTGCCAACAGAAAACCACGGTCTGCTGTCCCTGTTCAGCTTCATCTGCCCTCTTTGGAGACCAGGATAGAGGTGACATCTGGCAGCAGCCATGGTCACATGAGCTGCCCAGCGGGACAGGCCCATTCTGACCAGCTGGCTGGTGAGTATGAACCAGCCGTGCTGCTTCAGTGCACAAGCTCTGGGGAGCTAAGCCGTGACAAGTGCACCTCCAGCCCCCTGGATGCCTCTGGGCATCTGCTGAGTCATGGTCTGTGCCCGCTTCAAGGCCATTCCCTGTCTCCAAGGCGCTGGCATAGTGGCCCAGGGCCCACGGGCAGCCCAGCCCCACCCTGGCCTCAGTCCTGCCTGCAGTAAAGGGGGGACAGTGGATTTGGGGTGTGGGTGGGATAAGTCCCAGCACCTGGCGGGTGGGACTCACTCGCTAACTGCTGAGGGTCTCCTGCAAGCAAGCAGTGGCCAAGGGACTCAGTCCCCTCCATGGCATTGCCCTCTCAGGAACAGCTTGGCAGGGTGGGTTCTTGCCTGAACACCAAGGCCTTCCTGTTCAGTTTGCCCCACCTGAGGAGAAGATCTCAGGCCATGTCCCCACAAGTCCTTGTTAACAAGAGATGAGAGACGCACGGACACCTCCGGCCTGGGGGTGGGTGAGTGATGGGGCTCCACCCCAGACCCACCTGTCGCCTGGACCACGACAGGCCAGAGCCCCACCTCTCCTGACGGCCTCACCAGTCCCGTCCTCCCACAGCCCTTCCAACAGCGGAAGGCTTACTAGGGCCCTGAGGAGCAGCCCTGGGGAGAAGAGAGAGCCCGTGGCAGGGATGGCAGTGCAGACACTTGCTGAGCGCCCACCGTGTGCAGGGCACAAGGACAGGAAAGGTCCAGGCCGCAAGGGCCTGGCAGGGCTCACGGACAGACACCAGTCGTTCTGTACAGTGCAGTGAACACAGGGGAGGAGCAGGGGGCTAAGCGCAGGGAGGGCTTGGAGGAGCCCCCAGCTGAGCTGGCCTGGCCCTGTGGGGAGGAGGGAAGGGTCCGGCACAGAGGTGCTGGCAGCAGAGGACAGGGTGGACGGAGCACAGGGTGGGAGCATGAGTAAGGGGTGGGGGAGCGGGGGCCCGGGTTATGGGATTTGGCCAAGACCTGCCCTGGCCACCCTCCTCCCTGCACCTCCATTGGGTTGTGCCGGCGCTGTACCTGCGGCTTCCTGGATGAAGGCGGGGTTGCGCTTAAGGATGAGCAGGAAGGACGAGGAGCCATGACCACACAGGTGCAGCAGGATCTTCAGTACCTGGGGGAGCAGGCACGTGGGGCAGAGCTGGGCCCAAAGAATGGCACCCCTCCTGACACAGCCACTGCGCCCCCGGCTCACCCCTCCCCTCCAGCCTCACCACCGGGGACAGGACTGGGCCCTAAACTAACCCCCAGGAAAGTGTGTGGAGCAGCTCACGGACTCACCTTGAGCTTCACGCGGCCAGAGCCGCTCTGCAGACGGCTCAGCAGGTACTCCAGGAGGCACCGGCTGCTTCCCAGGGACTCGTGGGAGATCTCTGGGAGGTGCTCGGTTAGGGAAGGGGCGAGCTGACCCTGGGCCGCACAAGGCCGCTGGCCTGGGAGAGAAGCCAGGCCTTCCTGCCACACGCTCCTCAGTGTGTCCCCCCAACAGGCACCCACCCCGGCCCTGGTTTCAGGAGCATCAGGCTTCTAGGGTTTCCTGAGCCTCATATCATCAGTAGTGCGGCTTTCAGAGCCTGCTCACACCTGGCTACTATGGTAAAGGAGCCGTGGCCCGCTCAGGGTAGAAGCCCAGGAACCCTGCTCCAGGGCCCCCACATGTGTCCACAAGGAAGGATACTGGCGATCTCCTCAAACAGGTAGCCTGGACACGGGACGTCATCATCCGACGTTCCCTTCAGGAGAATCGGGAGCTGAAAGGGAGGGAGAGCCCTGACCACAGTGAGTGGCCATGCACACAGGGGGCCCCTGGCCACCAAAGGGGCCACCCATTCCTGAGATGGGCCACAGGAGCCCTCGTTCTCGGGGCACCAGTCTCCACACATCTCGTTGTTGGCATGCCACAGGGTGAGGGGACCCAGAGAGGGCAGTTATGGTCCTACTGGCCACAGGAAGCCTGCAGGAGCCTCCCTTGTGGAGGTCAGCATGAACGCCTGGGAAGAGGAAATGGGTGGTGGTCTCCATGGTGACGGGCCCTCTGGGTCAGGATTCGGCATGGCCCCCAGACCCCTATGCTTACAGCCGCACAACTTAAAACCGCCTTTAGTTTACCTACTTACTGACTGGCAAAAAAAAAAAAAAAAGCCCTTGGGGTCAGCCCCCTTCCCACTTCCCACGCAGGGCACTGGGAAGATTACATTTTTCCAGAACACAAATCAGCAAAGTGACATAACCATTCAGCCTGACCGACCCACAGCTCCACTTCTATGAAGGGACTCCACGGAAACAACCCAAAGCAAGAACAACCAACTTAGTTGTGTGTCTCACGTTTACCCGTTAACAGAAACGACTTTACATTAAGAGCTGACTCAGCACAAAGATGTAGCGCTTATAGGGATAAAACCCAGAAACACCCGTTCCACATCATTGAACATCTGGGGGGCATGAGCCTCAGTGTAGACAGACTTCGGGTGCACTCCGGGAGGTGCTGGCCACAGATACGGTCTACCTGAATGTCGCACGAGGCTGTGTGTGTACACACTCTTTAGCTATTTGTCCACCAAGACCCAAAGGGGAGCTGGCAAGGTCTGCAGAACCGTAGAATGCTTGGCACATAGCGAAATCTCTGCTCAAAGAAAACTGACTGTGCTTCTGGCAGCACGAGGGTGAACCGGGAATCCCCCCACCCCCATCCCCACCGCCTGCCTGAGGAAGCTCGAGGTGCAAGGAGAATTTACTGGTTCAAGGTCATTTCAGAAGCATTTTCTAAGAAGGACCTACAATTGTGAACACGGAACTCCTACAAGTCGGGGGTGTCTTTCTTAAGGGCCTGAAGGCCACTCCTCTAAATGTAACCACCAGGAAGGACAGGGGCTGTCTCCCAGTCGCTACTGGACGACGGGATCCTAGCTTCTGTAACCACCAGCTATCAGCACAGCAGCCGGTATCCCGTGGACACTGCCCAACTGCCTATAATTTTTCACTTGAGCTCCACCCTTTCCTCCTTCTGTCCTGAAAACTCTCAGTCCTCTCTGCACAATTTGGAGTGGAGCTCAGGGCTTCCCCCACTGCCTGAACCACTGAATAAAAGGTTTTCCCCTGTTTCCCGGACCAGTGTCTGGTTGTGTTTACCTTAGACAGAATTTGGGGTCACTATGTTTCCTTTTCTGTAAGGTTATTGATACTTTAAGTTGGGTAAGAAAACAAAAACTGGTGTCCCACAGCTCTCTTCTCCAACTTGGATTTTGTTCAAGGGGGTCTCACTGTCCCCAGTGGACCTGACACACGGGTGGCCTGACCTGCCCCCTCGACGTACGTGCTGTGGGGACCCCCAGCTTTGGGAGGGGCCGAAGAGTAGGAGGGGAGAGGAGGAGGGGTCTGGGGTGTAGGAGGGGACGGAAGGGGGTGGAAAGGAGTAGAGAGAATAAGTGGGAGGGCCGGGGGACGACAGAGGGGACGCCGAGCTCAGGAGCAGCCGGAGAGCCCGGCGCGGGGACGCCGCGAGGGTCGAGCGGAGCCAGGGAGGCGGCCGGCTCGGGCCGGGGGCAGACCAGGAGGCGGCGCGCAGCGGGGCCGGGGCCCCCCGCACTCACCCGGTGCAGGAAGCTCAGGCGGTCCCGCAGCGGCACCGTGGCCGCCATGGTGCCGGTCAGCTTCCGGCCCCGCCCAGCTCCCGCCAGGCCCGAGCCCCTTCCAATAACTGCGCGGGTCTGACCCCACTGGCCAATCACTCGCGTGAGGCGGGCCCTGCGGCTGACTTCGGGAAACAATTTGCACGTGAACCAATCCAAAGTCCAAGGACAAAGACAGACAAAACCGCGAGCCAATTGCAAGGCTCTGGAACACCAGGAGCGGTTCCGGAGAAGAGGCGGAGGCGAGGGCTGAAGCCTGGCCAATGACAAAGCGCAAGAAAGGTTGTGGGCGGAAGCTCCGGCCTATTAAGCTGTTGGGTGCCGGAAGAGGCTGGACCTAAGATGGCGGCGCCCACGGGTGCCCGGAAGAGCTGCTCATGTCGGGGAACGGAGCGGTGTGGGGTCGCGTGCGAAGCCGCCTCCGCGCCTTCCCCGATCGCCTGGCGGCCTGTGGGGCCGAGGTGCGGAGTCGTCAGGCGGGGCAGGAGGGGCCGCGCGGGGCGGAGTGCGGGCTGGCGGGGTGGTGGTGACTGGGGAGCGGCGGCGGGGTCTGCCCGGGTGACCGGCGGGCGTGGGGGCCGCCGCGACCCTCGCCCGTCCCCGTCCCGCCCCCAGGCCGCGGCCTACGGCAGGTGCGTGCAGGCGTCCATGGCCCCGGGCGGCCGCTTGAGGAAGGATCTGTGCGCGCAGGAGTTCGAGGCCTTACGGAGCTGCTTCGTTGCCGCGGTAGGTGGGCGCCGGCCCCGCCCGGGGAACGGACCCTGGGAGGCTGGCACCCACGTGCTTGCGCGGGCCCTCCGGCTTCCTTTCCTTCTGGGTGCGGTGCTGGGCGCCAGCAAGTGCTTCAGACGCAGCACACTCTCCATCAGCCGGCGCGACCCCCGCCGCCATGGAGCGCGCGTGCCAGTGTCTGTCAGGTTGGGGGAGCACCGCTCTCAACGTGTACCCGCCAGTGCCTTGTAACCCTTTGCGGGACTGTTGCTGGTGGGGGGCCCCGGCCCCTGCTGTCCTAGTTTCTCTGGTGTTTAGGACCCCACGTGTGTGCTGTGCGTGGGCAGTTGCAACCGGGCACCCCGACCCCCCCCTTCCTTTCGACTACCCCATTTCACAGAGGGTGAAAGGAGAAAAAACGAGTGTATTTTAGGTTTGTTGTCATGACCAAGGTTACAGAGGCTGAGAAGTCCCCCACCCAGCCGCGCTGGTTGGTTCTCACTGGCGGAGAAGCGGGCTGTGGTGACAACAGTGTGTTCCTTGGCTCCGGACTCAGTTCTGCCTCTAACCCTTCTGTAACAGGTGGTTTCTGTTTCTGAGCTGTGGCGTTTTCTGATCCTCATCTGATCAAATGCTATGCCAGTGAAAATAGACACCGTGCCCAAGTAAAGATTTATGGTGTTGTGTTGATGCATTTATTATAAAGGATGGGGAGGAAGTAGGGTTGGAAGAGACCCACACTGACTGAGGGAGAGGAGCTCTCTGGGGAACCGAGATGGGAGTTCCAGTCTCTCAAGAGGAGGGTGTGGAGACCGCCTGTAATGAGGCTTTAACACAGGGTTTTGAGCTGGTGTCATGGCCTTGGGTGCCCCTGGCCCAGTGGGTCTGGGGTGGGCGACGATGCCAGTGGTCAGCTCTGTTTGCCAGAACTGCTGATCTCGAGAACTGGACCCAAGAAGGGGCAGTTGGGTCAGCCTGGCAGAATTTAGGGAATCCAAGGCAGTTTCCTGATGTTCCAGGATGGCTGAGAATGCGTGGGCTATCCCTCATTTCCTGGAGGGCTCAGAGAACTCCTTGCACCTTCCTTGCCATCGTTGTGGGTGGGATGTGTGGCCTCAGCCCTTGTCACCAACCTCTGATCTGACATGTGCCCTTCACCCAAGCTGCATGTGTCCCTTGGACTTGCTTCCTGCCTCTTGGCAGCTTCCCTGCTTTACTTAGAGTGTTCCCTCGGGGAGGGGACAAACCTTCATTCTGTGGTCACTGGTTGGAAGGATTCACACATGAGATAAAGATCACACACTTCTGGCCACGCTAGGCTTTTCTCTACCGCCTGTGGTTAGTCAGGAATCACCCATTACAGGTATCTGGTCATCTGTGATTCCTTACGCTCCTTTGCCTCTGTCACGTCGTCCTGCCCCCAGGAGCATGTCGCTGCCTCTCGTGCCATTTTCCACTGAGGGTGACCTAACTGCAGACCCTGGGCACTGGAAGCTCAGAACAGGGAACTTGGGGGTTTCTCACCTAAGAACACAAGCCGGTGAACGCATTTTTGCCCACTCTGCCTGGACCCTGAGACTCCACGGGGCTGAACGAGGAGGCAGAGGGCTCTGGGTGCCACTTCCAGCTCCGTCCCTGGGAGCCCTGTCCCTGGGCAAGTGTTTCAGCATCTCTGACCTCAGAGTTTCCGCTACAGGGGGAAAACTAAACGTAACTCGTTGGTGCACAGTGCCTGGCACAGGTGGGCGTGGCTTTGAGGCCACAGAGCAGGTTGAGCTCTGTGGCCTGTGGAGGTGGGAGCAGAGACCCAGCCCCAGGGGCCCCCTGCTGCACATCCATGGCCAGGCTCTTTGTAAGTTATTTGCCAGAAGATGGCATTTGGTGTGGTAGTTTTCTTACTTTAGAGCCACGTCTAACTTGAAAACAACACATTCAGACAAAGAACTTTCTCTTCCAGGCCAAGAAGACCCTGACAGGAGGCCATTAGGAAGGACTGCGAGCTCCACTCCACGTCCCCGGGTGTGTGGTACTGATGGCCCCGAGGGGCAACTGTCTAAAACCTCAAAAGCTCTTGAGGCTAAAAGGACCGGAAACACGTTAGGCGAGTGCGGGCAGAGGGGAATGGGTTTTCCAACTTTGCTCACTTAAGGATTCAGAGGAGAATAAGATGAAGTGAACCCACAATAAAGACCAGATCAGATGCTGTAAGATCTGTTTTGTCGTCTGCAGGGTGAGCGTGTGGGCCATAGAACACCCTGCCTCTCGAGTCTCTCTCTTTTTTTTTTTTTTGTGGTACGCGGGCCTCTCACTGCTGTGGCCTCTCCCGTTGCGGAGCACAGGCTCCGGACGCGCAGGCCCAGCGGCCATGGCTCACGGGCCCAGCCGCTCTGCGGCATGTGGGATCCTCCCAGACTGGGGCACGAACCCGCGTCCCCTGCATCGGCAGGCGGACTCTCAACCACTGCACCACCAGGGAAGCCCGAGTCTCATTTTTTAAGGAATTCTCACCAAAGGCGTGTCGTCTGAGTCTAGCGAGGCCTCTAGAAGTGACTACCAATTTACAGCACGGACCAAAGAGAGAAGAGCGACACCACGAGGGAAAGGTAACCGCTGTAGGAATCTGATACTGATGGTTTTTTCAGACTTGGAGAGGAAAAAAGGCAGGGGTTGCTCTTCCAGACTAAGGCATGAGTCGAGGGAGGGTCCGGTTTAGGAACCCAGTAGTGAGACCCTCCCCGTGGGGTCTCCTATCCACCCTTCTGCAGGCTCTGGAGTCCAAGCCCAAGCCCATCCCTGCCAGGCTCCTGCTGGCTCTGGTTCCACCTGTCATCCTGAGATTAAGGTTAGGCCGCAGCAGCTCCCCTCCCAACATACACATGCGCAGTCCAGGGAGACCTGACAGGACCCTGGTGCCACGGCCTGAAGATTCCAAGGTCCTGAGCACCGCCTGCTGGGCGCGTGGGGACTGTGCTCCCAGAGCCCCCTCCCCGGGGTGTGGAGGTCACACTGTCCTCTGGCTCCATCCAGGCCACGGCGTCCCAGAGCCTCGTGCCAGGGCACCCTCGCCCTGAGTCCTGGAGCTGTTTCCTCTTGTAAACGCTCCTCCAGAATCAGCCCGACTTTCCCCCAGGTGGTGAAACCCCTCATCTCTTGAGACATCATCCCAGTGAAATGCAGTTCCCAGGGCGGCCTCGGAGGGGAGCCACACGCCGTTCAAGGGCTTCAGGGCTGTTAGAAACTGTCCCGCTGGGCAGTCACGTGTCATAGTCAACACTGGAATTCAGGACTGGACACCGTGACACGACCCCCA